AGGCTGATGGAGCTGTTGGTCTGAGCTTCCACCCTCAGGGTTCTCACTGGGTTCAGAGCTGAGAAGCAGAGTGAGACTGTCATACTAGAAAAACATAGATCATTCATTTTTCTCCTTCCCATCACCCTCTACTTCCCTTGCTGCCAGTTGAGAAACTACTTTTTCCTCAGTCCACCACAGACCATGGGATTCAGAGAAACTGGGGTCCCATCCATTGGCAAGGATAGTGGTTGAAATCGTGCTACTCACCAGCTGCCCTGGCCACAGTGCAACCACACACTCCCTAGAGATAGAGGGGAGGAAGAAATTAGCTTAGGTACGTGAGGTTCGGGAGGTGTGGCTTACAAGCCTGATGGAGACTTTCTTGATCTCCATCCCCAAGTCTTTTCAACCTTGACCAAGGAGAAGAATGTTTAGATAAAGGTCCTTCCTACTCTGGTCCTCAGTCGGTTAGGAAGAAGGTCACCCCAGGCAGAGGTGGGACTCTAGGGAAGTGGGAGTCAAAGTTGGTTCCCAGATAAAGGCAAGAGAAAAAAACGAATAGTTTTACTTTCTGTAAAATATAACTAGAGCCTTTGTGGGAAGAAAGTAATGGACCAAGAGAAAAGACAAGAGAGAAACAGAAATGGACTCTGGAGACAGACTGTGGGTTAAAGGTGGGCCAGAGCCTGGACACCTTGGGGTGTGGGAATAGAGTTAGGGCTTGAACTCCTGGGTCTGAGGGAAGAGCGGTAGGCTCTAGGCTTCGACGTCTGAGGTAGGAGCGCTAGATGTGTGTGAGTAGCCCGATCCGTGTTCAGCCTCAAAGCAGACACTACAGCTTCTAGACACCAGGACGTCAGAACTCTCGCTGTTCCACTAAACTCAGATGTTCCTTCCTTTTCCAGGTGATGGCCATCCCTGCTTCTTCAAGCCCCTGGCTGAGGGACCTTCCTCCCACCCTCCTGGAATGTAGATTCCAGCCCTTTCTATCCCCGCCTCCCTTGGATCCCAGCTCAGCCCCTGAGAACTTACCAATAGCACCAAGCTCCCCCAAACCCCAGGATTCCCACCAGCTCTGGCCATGTGTCCTGACAATGCACAGGGGACACAGGAGTCCCAGGTCTGGAACCTCTACAGGTTGGACTTTCAACTTAAGATTTTTCCTTTTGCCAGCCCATTGGTGAGGCCAGAGGCTAAGGCTGCAATGGGCGGAGGAGGAAGTAGGAGCTCTAAGCCTGAGAAGCCAGCCTGGCCCTGCCCTGGCTCTCACTATCCTTCCTTTCTGTCTCAGGCCCGCATGCAGACATTCTGGATGTTTTCTCGGTGGGCCTGTCTGGAACCCTCAGTGCTCAGCTCACCCCATTTTGTACCACAAAAGCTTCTTCTCCACTCAGTCATGTTCAGATCCCCTAGGTAAACAGCTGTTGCTTCCCACTGTGTGTGAATATGCTATGCAGATTTTCAAAAGTAGATAGAGCTGAATGTCCATATGGCTGTCCTCTCTTAGGGATGGGGGCACAGCACAGCCAGCCCAAAGCCAGCTGTGGTGACTTATACCCGTAATCCCCAGCACTTGAGAGGGGAATCTAAGGCAGGATTTCTGCAAGTTACAAACCCGTCTGGGCTACAAAATCAGATCCTGTGTTAAATACACATACACACAGAAACACATATACACAGTTGCGGGCATGCGCACATACACATGTAACATGCACATACGTCTACACATACACACTGCTTATGCATACAGACACATATAGACACACCCGCATGTACCAGCCAGGAAGCTGTGTCTCATGTCCCCCTGGTGAGCTTAGGTCTGACACAGGCTCAGGACTCTGCCTCCTTTTCTGCTTCCCACAGACTTTGCAGCCTGCTCAGGGAAGCCTGCATGCTGCTCCCGGCCCAGCCTTTGCACACTGTGTCCGCCACAGGCACCCCCACAGGCACCCCCCCACACTGCCCTTCAGCAGGGTTGCACTCTTGCTCCTCCACTGAGACTCAGCTCAGAAGCAGCCCACACCAGGAAGCCCTGAGTTGTAATCTGTTCTATTTACATTTGTATATCTCCCTTGTCACAGGGTGTGTCTGTGGCCTTAAAAGGGTGACTTCAACCCAGGGTGACTCAGATTTCTCCTCTGTGAAAAATGGTCACAGCCTCCAGTAAACAAGCCATGAGGAATTAGAGAAATGGGTGTCTGGAAAACCTAACCACACACAGAAGGTGTGGTGTTGCATGCTTGTCATCACCGCACTGAGAAGCTGAGGCCGGAGGATAGTATGTGTCATGTCAAAGCAAGGTGTTTAATCACACCCGTAATCCTAGCATGAGGAAGATCAAGAGTCCAGCCTGGGCTATGTATGACCCAACTTATATACCCCAGGCTGCCCTCAAACTCTCCATGACCTTCACCCAACTCCTGATCCTCTCTTCCAGCCCCTCCCTCCAGAGAGCTGGGATCATAAGCAACCACCAGGATTTCTGGCTTATACAGTGCTGGAGATCAAACCCAGGGCCTTGTGCGTACTAAGCAAGCAGTCCACTAATAGAATTTTATTCTCTGATACAATTTTTATTTTGTTTATTTTTTTGAGACAGGGTTTCAGTTTGTAGTTTTGTCTAGCTGGGATCTCACTATGTAGACCAGGCTGGCCTTGAGCTTACAGAGATCTACACTTGCCACTTGCCTCTACTTCAGTGTTGTTCTCCCAGAGTGTTGAGAATGAAGGTGCCAACCACAACTGGCTATTCTATTTTTGGGGACAGCATCTCAGGTAGCCCAGGATGGCCTTGAACTTACTCTGTAGCTGAAGATTATGAGTGTCGGATTGACTCCCTCCAACTGCCATTGTGACAGGAGCGCACCTGCCTTTTCTAATTTTGTCTCAGAAGGCTCACACCTGTCCACTAACACCTTTTCCTCTCCAGCATTGGAAGGCACAGCTTGAAAGTGTGAGAAGCAGGAAGTGAACATTACAGGGGCCATCTCGGATGGTGTCATCTCCCGTGCCATCTTGGCTCACAATGAAGGTTTTCCCTTTTCATCTTGTCTCATAGCCTCCCATTTATCGAGCAGAGTTACAAAAGGGAGGGGTGTGTAAGGACGGGCACCTTTGCCCCATGCTGGAAACATCTCAGCACTGACATTTCTCCTGAGTCAGAGGAGGAAGTGAGGCCCAAGGAAGGGGGCAGGGGGAGGATCCTAATCCAAGTGTTGCCCTTTGGCCTCCAGGACAGCCTTCGATTCCCAACCCCCACTCCACCCTGCCCTGCCCCAACTCACTCCTCTTCTACATCTCCTGAGATATAAGGGTACAGTTTTCTGCATACCTAATCCTTCAGGGCATTTCTGAATGTGCCACCATCAGAACCATAGGAACTTTTAGTTTTGTTACTTTGTGGGGAGGAGCTGGTTGAAAACTTTCACTACAAAGTGGCTATGGTGGTACATACCTGTAATCCCAACCCTTGTAAGCCAGAAGCAGGAGTTTGAGGCTAGCCTCATCTACATAGTGTGAGTTTAAGGCCAACCTCAACTACACAAAGAAACTCCGTCTCAGGAAAAAGGAAAAAAAAAAAAAAAAAAAGGAGAAGCTGATGTGTTAGTACTCCAGAAGCCAAGGCAGGTGAGGCTAGCCTGGGGTACATAGCCAGTTCCAAACCAGCCTGGGCTACATGGTGAGGACTTGTCTCAAAACAATACAAAAGGAATATTAATTACTGCAGTACATCATAGCCTACAGCTGTAATCTCACCTCTGAAGCCATGAAGCCACGAGGCTTGGTTTTAAGGACAACTTGAACCTTGTCTCAAAAAACTTTTTTTTACTACTTAGGTATATAGTATGTGTGTGTGTGTGATATATATATGCATGTGATGATAAATGTGTCCATGAACACATGTGGCAGGCAGAGGCCAACTTTGGGCGTCTTCCTCCACTGCTCTCATCACAGATAACTGTGTTTGATTTTGGACAGGGTCTCTCTGTGTAGCCCTTGTTGTCCTGGAGACTCCCTGTAGACCAGGCTGGCATCGAACTCAGAGCTCCTCCTGCCTCTGGGACCAAAGCTGTGTGCCACTGCCACCAGCTGGACCTTCTATCTAAGACAGGGTTTCTCACTGGACCTGGCTGGAACTCACCTTCAGCTAAGCAGGCTGGCCAGTGAGTGCCCAGGCCACCAGCTGGACCTTCTACCTGAGACAGGGTTTCTCACT